AAAATAAAAACGGGGGAGTTACACCCTCCTCACCTAGAGATTACTTAAATCATGCTACTTACATTCTAAATTTTTTACAAATTGATAAGCATGGCCACTCGGCAGTGGAAAGGTTCCGGCCTCCACAAGGCTCTCCGTATGCCTTGGTCACACGGAGAGGTCCCTTACCTGCTCAGTGGTGTGGGCCCGACCCCGTTTTAATGTGGAGCCGAGGGCATGTTTGTGTTTCCTCGCAGGAACACGATGGAGCTCATGGCTACCAGAGAGGCTGCTTCGTCAGGTGGAAACTCCTGCTGATGTCAGTTCCCTGCAGGACGTGAGGCCTCCTCAAGAACACTGGGCTCACGTGCCAGATCCTCCCCTCCACATCCTGTCTCCTGGGGTGCACGTGAAGTGCCGGCGCTGGTGTAAGATACACGCAGGCTTGGGCACCCCTACCTTGGCCATTTAGAAAACGAATTATACTTACGTCGGATGTGGACAAGGTTACCTATAGGTCTCTCGTTGGTCAAGTCGCCTATTCCTGGATGCCTCTCTTTGGCACAAAAACGATTTCATTCAAAAACTGTATGTTGCCTTATTATATCCTTCTCTTGGCAATAAACCCAGAGAAGCACCACCTCAATTGCTTTATCCCTGTCAGAAAGAGAATGGAAAAAGTAATGTTACTATATTTGGGAAAGGTGTTATAAGGAAAATGGGACTGCTACGGTGAGAAGTTCTGGGACAAAAAGGACTTTCCTCGATTGGTCTTTAACCAACACTACCTCAGAGAGTCCATCTGCTGGTCTTAGCCTTTCTGCTGGACTTTGGTGGACAGATTCGGCTTTTCCTCACACCAACATTTGGAAACTTGCTGCTGCGTTGGGAGAAATACGTTTATGGTCAGCTGTCAAAGTTACTAGCCTTAGTTTCAATATTGTTGGCATAGGGGCCTCTAATATGCAAAATATCATAAATGCTGTTTTATCTCAAGTCAAAGAACAAAAGATAAAAAAAATAATGTGTTAATGCTCCTTTTGTTATTAGTAAGAAATATAGAGATTGTTTATGAAACTGATGTATGTAACATCAGCTGTTTTAACTGTAAATTGACCAATTGTATATTCTCAGAGATGATGACTTCCTGTCATTCTGTGATGGTTTTGAGACAACCTCCCTTGGTAATGATGCCTATAAAACTTAATGAGTCCTGGTACGAGGATCAAGGGTTACAAATGTTGATAGAGGAAGCTCTTAACCTCTTTAAGGAATGATGACCTCTACCTACATGTCAGCCTCCATAACCCACGGTCTAACCCTGCAGAGGCTGGTAGTCAAAGACGGGTAAGAGAGCTGTGGAGAAATACGCAACCTACGACAGAGCCTGAGTATTAAACTGCTCATGGCCTGAGGACGGGTAAGGGATTTCTCCGGACCTTTCTCACCTAAGACAGGCACAGCCTTTCTGCTGAGCTGGGAAAGTCCCTGCTGTAAATATAATAAAAAGGGGGAAATGTGGGAGGCCGGCCATGGCTCTTTGGCGTTTGACATTTGAAAGGAAACTTCTTCCTCTACAATGAAGACATTGATACAATCTATGTAACATTTGTTCCTTTTCAAGGACTCTGTTAAATTTATTTGTTCTTTTACCCTGCGATGGGAGGAACTGAAAGAGACAGCCAAAGATCTGGTGTTATCTGTAGGAGTCAGGAAATCCGGTTTTTGCATCAGAAAAGGTGGAGAAGGTTGCTTGGTGCTCCCTGTCGATGAGCCTTTCAGGAAAGCTGTTTCTGTAAAATAAACCAGGCTTCTCTTGGTCTCCACTCAGGCGGGAGTGTTCTTTCCTTTCTCAGTCCTCACTCCCCGACTCAGGCATGTTCGTGTTGTGACGGCTGGACCGCCACAAGTGGCTTAGGTGATTTTGTTCAGCAAGAGTAGCCAGCCAGACATGGTGGCGCACCTTTAATACCAGCACTCTGGGAGGCTGAGGCAGGAGGGTTGCCAATTTTTGAGCACAGCTTTGGTAATTTAGCGACCTGAGAGAGGACTGCCTCAAAACAAAAAGAGGGCAGGGGACAGATCTCAGTGGAAAGGCCCAGGGTTCAATCCCCAGTAATAAGTGCGCGCGCGCGCACACACACACACACACACACACACACACACACACACACGCGTGCGCGCGCGCACGTGCACTCCGAAGTACACCCTGAGGGCTGCTGAACTTCCCAGGTGGCCGATTTAGGCAAATTCACTGTTCCCTGCTTCAGCTTTCTTTGTGAGTCTGAAACACTAATGTTTTTTTCAGCTTTAATTGAGTTTATTGGTACATTTAGGGATACAGTACAGTTACGTTCATTGTTGGGATCTTGTACCTCTACATGGCAGGTCTTGGTTCTCATTTTTCCCCCTTACCTCTGCCCTCCCTTCACCCGCTCCTCCCCTCCCTATCTACAAACACTTTATTTTTAAGAAATAATTAGATGATTTAAACGAGGGGTTTGTGCAACTGCAAGCACAGAATAGGTGCTCAGCAAACGTGTGAAAGTTTTCAGCTCAGGTCAAAGAATAACTGAGGGACACTGCGAAAGGCCCTGGGGTCTTCCTTCAACACTAGAACAACGATTAAAGAGTGAAATACTGGTAGAAGTACGTGAACTGCTATATGAGAGAATGCTGCTTTTGAAGAAATTAATCTTTTAAGAGTAGCTTTTTTGTTTTGTTTTGTTTTTTGAGACAGGGTCTCACTATGTAGTGGAGACTGACCTGGAACTCACTATGTAGCCCAGGCTGGTGTCGAACTCACAGCGATCCTCCTGCCTCAGCCTCCCGAGTGCTGGGATTACAGGCGTGCGCCACCACGCCAGGTTTTCAAGAGTAATTTTTAAACTGGGAGTGGTGATACAAGGCTACAATCCAAGCACCCGGGAGGCAGAGACAGGAAGATCTCAAGTTCGAGGCCAGTCTAGGCTACACAGTGAGTTCAAAGCTAGCCTGCACTACATAGCGAGACCCTGTGTCCAAAAAAACCAAACGGAAAAAGTAAAAACCACCACAAAAAAGAAAGTATGATGAAACAGGACACCGGGGAAGGAGCTGGGGAGGGAGCACCTC